AAGGGGTTCAGACTCCAACTGACGGAGGAGCTCCGAGGACAAACTCTTGGTCACTCCTCAAATGAAAACTGGCACAGGGGAAACAGGAAACAATAAACAGGGGGTGGCCATTTTTGGCCACGAACAAGCTGAGAGGGATTTTTTTGTTTTTCTGTTACTGCAAAAAAAACCAAAGATGCATAAAACTCATTGATACTTTTAATTATTGCTATGCATCTAACCTCCATCATGGTTAGAAAATAAATCAGTTTGCATGTATTATTTAGAAAAAAAAATGGGGATTTTATGCTTTTATCCCTATGTAAATCATTAAAATTATGTGATCTAACTGGTATTTAAAGGGTTACAATTATGGATTTAATTGAAATTTTGGTCTTGATGAACAGCACTGATGCTAATCTAAAAAATCAAGTAAAAAAAAGTGGAAATTTAATAAACAAGGGGTGGCCATTTTTGGCCACGAACAATCTGAGAGGGAGTTTTTATGTTTTTCTGTCACTGCACAAAAAAACAAAGATGTATAAAAGTCACTGATACTGTTAATGATTGCTATACATCTAACCTCCACCATGGGTAGATAATAAATCAGATGGCATGTTTTATTTGGGGGAAAAAATGGGGTTTTATGATTTTTTCCATTTATGAGTTCCTAGGATTATGTGATCTAACTGGTATTTAAAGGGTTAAAATTCTGAATTTGAATGAAATTTTGATTTTCATGAACAGCACAATCTAAAAAATCAAGTAAAAAAAGGTGGAAATTTTTCTTAATATATGAATTTTATAGCATTTTGTAAACGTAAACAAGGGGTGGCCATTTTTGGCCACGAACAAGCTGAGAGGGAGTTTTTATGTTTTTGCTCTCTCTGCACAAAAATAACAATCCATTATAATCAATGTTGATGAGAATCAATTACATGCCCCAGACTCTACTATTAATAATACAAGAAATTTCAGTAGCAATGCAATTATATAAAATTGCGAGATTTGAGGTTATCTTCCAGCTGGTGCAATGGACAAACAAACTGGTGTTTAAAGGGTTAAAATTTAAAAAGTAATAATTATTTTATATTTATTAACTCATTCACTGCCAGGCATTGGCAGTGAATGAGTTAAACCCATTGACTCATGCACTGCCATTGACGGCTATAGACGTCAATGGCAGTGAATGAGTTAAATAATTATAAATAATTATTATAATTATAATGTCAGGCAGAGAGGCGTGCAGTCTTACACGCCTCTCTGCAGCTTCTCTCCTCCTGCTACCCCCCCCCCCCCCCCCCCCCCCAAAAAAACCCATCTCCATAGAGACTGTGTCAGCTTCCAAAAAGACAAAAAACAAACTAAAAACCAGCAACAAACAACTTAAACATAAACAATCACAAAGAAAGAACAATACAGTATCCACATCTGAACCAAAGAGTAAAACAGTGAAATGTGGATTATTAAATATTAGGTCTCTCTCCTCCAAGTCTCTGTTAGTACATGACTTAATAATTGATCAACAAATCGATTTACTCTGTCTTACAGAAACCTGGTTGCAGCAGGATGATTATGTTAGTTTAAATGAATCAACACCCCCGAGTCATTCTAACTACCAGAAATCTCGAAGCACAGGCCGAGGGGGCGGTGTGGCAGCAATTTTTCACACCAGCCTATTAATTAATGAAAGACCAAGACAGACTTTTAATTCATTTGAAAGCCTGATGCTTAGCCTCGTCCACCCCAGCTGTAAAACTCAGAAACCAGTCTTACTTGTTATCATCTATCGTCCACCTGGGCCTTACACAGAGTTTCTGTCTGATTTCTCAGACTTTATATCTAATTTAGTTCTGAGCTCAGATAAAATAATTATTGTGGGTGATTTTAACATCCATGTAGATGCTAAAAATGACAGCCTCAACATGGCATTTAATCTGTTATTAGACTCAATCGGCTTCTCTCAAAATGTAAAAGAACCCACCCACCACTTTAATCACACTCTAGATCTTGTTTTAACATATGGCATAGAAACTGAACATTTAACAGTGTTTCCTGAAAACCCTCTCCTGTCTGATCATTTCCTGATAACATTTACATTTACAATAATTGATTACACAGCAGTGGAGAGTAGACTTTATCAAAGTAGATGTCTTTCTGAAAGCGCTGTAACTAAGTTTAAGAATATAATCCACCCACTGTTATCATCTTCAATGCCCTGTACCAACACAGAGCAGAGCAGCTATCTGAACGCTACCCCAACAGAGGTCGATCATCTTGTTAATAATTTCACCTCCTCACTACGTACGACTCTGGATACTGTAGCTCCTGTGAAAACTAAGGCCTCAAATCAGAAGTACCTGACTCCGTGGTATAATTCTCAAACACGTACCCTAAAGCAGATGACTCGTAATCTGGAGAGGAAATGGCGTGTCACAAATTTAGAAGATCATCATTTAGCCTGGAGAAATAGTTTGCTGCTTTATAGGAAAGCCCTCCGCAAAGCCAGAACATCTTACTATTCATCACTGATTGAAGAAAATAAGAACAACCCCAGGTTTCTCTTCAGCACTGTAGCCAGGCTGACAAAAAGTCAGAGCTCTTTTGAGCCAACAATCCCTTTAACGTTAACTAGTAATGACTTCATGAACTTCTTCACAAATAAAATTTGATGTTAAGTTAGACTCTTTTTCTCCAATTGATCTTTCTGAGTTAACTTCAATAATTACTTCCTCCAAACCATCAACGTGTCTTTTAGACCCCATTCCTACAAAACTGCTCAAAGAAGTCCTGCCATTAATTAATTCTTCGATCTTAAATATGATCAACCTATCTCTAATGATCGGCTATGTACCACAGGCCTTCAAGCTGGCTGTAGTTAAACCTTTACTCAAAAAGCATCTCTAGACCCAGCAGTCTTAGCTAATTATAGGCCAATCTCCAACCTTCCTTTCATATCAAAAATCCTTGAAAGAGTAGTTGTCAAACAGCTAACAGATCATCTGCAGAGGAATGGTTTATTTGAAGAGTTTCAGTCAGATTTCAGAGCTCATCACAGCACAGAAACAGCTTTAGTGAAGGTTACAAATGATCTTCTTATGGCCTCTGACAGTGGACTCATCTCTGTGCTTGTCCTGCTAGACCTCAGTGCAGCATTCGATACTGTTGACCATAATATTCTAATAGAGCGATTAGAACATGCTGTAGGTATTACAGGTACTGCACTGCAGTGGTTTGTATCATATCTATCTAATAGACTCCAGTTTGTTCATGTAAATGGAGAGTCCTCTTCACACACTGAGGTTAATGATGGAGTTCCACAGGGTTCAGTGCTAGGACCAATTCTGTTTACATTATACATGCTTCCCCTAGGCAGTATCATTAGAAGACATAGCATACATTCTCACTGCTATGCAGATGACACACAGCTCTATCTATCCATGAAGCCAGATAACACACACCAATTAGTTAAAGTGCAGGAATGTCTTAAAGACATAAAGACCTGGATGGCCGCTAACTTTCTGCTTCTTAATTCAGATAAAACTGAGGTTATTGTACTCGGCCCTGAAAAGCCTAGAAATATGGTATCTAAGCAGATTCTTACTCTGGATGGCATTACCTTGGCCTCCAGTAACGCTGTGAGGAACTTTGGAGTCATTTTTGACCAGGACATGTCCTTCAACGCACATATTAAACAAATATGTAAGACTGCTTTCCTCCATTTGCGCAACATCTCTAAAATTAGAAATATCCTGGCTCAGAGTGACGCTGAAAAACTAGTTCATGCATTTATTACTTCCAGGCTGGACGACTGTAATTCATTATTATCAGGATGTCCAAAAAACTCACTGAAAAGCCTTCAGCTAATCCAAAATGCTGCAGCAAGAGTCCTGACAGGGACTAGAAAGAGAGAGCATATTTCTCCTGTTTTGGCTTCCCTTCATTGGCTTCCTGTTAAATCCAGAATTGAATTCAAAATCCTGCTCCTCACATAGAAGGTCTTAAATAATCAGGCCCCATCTTATCTTAATGACCTTGTAGTACCATATCACCCTATTAGAGCACTTCGCTCTCGCTCTGCAGGCCTACTTGTTGTTCCTAGAGTAATTAAAAGTAGAATGGGAGGCAGAGCCTTCAGTTTTCAGGCCCCTCTTCTGTGGAACCAGCTTCCAGTTTGGATTCAGGAGACAGACACTATCTCTACTTTCAAGATTAGGCTTAAAACTTTCCTTTTTGCTAAAGCATATAGTTAGGGCTGGACCAGGTGACCCTGAATCCTCCCTTAGTTATGCTGCAATAGACGTAGACTGTTGGGGATTCCCATGATGCATTGAGTTTTTCCTTTCCAGTCACCTTTCTCACTCACTATGTGTTAACAGACCTCTCTGCATTGAATTATAGCTGTTATTAACCTCTGTCTCTCTTCCACAGCATGTCTTCTATCCTGTCTTCCTTCTCTCACCCCAACCGGTCGCAGCAGATGGCCCCGCCCCTCCCTGAGCCTGGTTCTGCCGGAGGTTTCTTCCTGTTAAAAGGGAGTTTTTCCTTCCCACTGTCGCCAAAGTGCTTGCTCATAGGGGGTCATATGATTGTTGGGTTTTTCTCTGTATCTATGAAGCGCCTTGAGGCGACTTTTGTTGTGATTTGGCGCTATATAAATAAAATTGAATTGAATTGAATTGAATTTAAAAAAGAAATGAAGTTACTTAAAAGCTTTATGCAGAAAAAATGGCAAAAAACAAAACAAAACATAAAAATAATAAAAATTACAGACCTAATCTGTTGGTGGCCACTTTTGGCCACGAACAAGCTGAAAGGGTAGTGATTTTGAACAAGCCCAGAATAACACATATGTTAAATCAAAATCACATTCCACCGTTACATAAAGCACCTCAAGTCTAAATATGCGTAACGAGAACACGCTCTTGAGAAGGTATGAAAAAAGGAAAAACAAGAAAATAAATCGTTTTTATTCCTGTCGGTGCACATTTATAGACCCTGAGAGCCATGTGCGCACAGTGAAGCCACCAGCAGCCACCGCAGCGGGCGTCATCGGAGGAGTGGATGGCTGGGAAAAAAAAGAAAAAGTGACAGTCCTGTCTCAGAATTCCCCTTTAATCCCAGCACTGAAATCTGAGGATTTACTTCACCTTTTCACAAGAAACGAAGCTCCACCCACAGCATCGTGTCTCTCCCTGTGGAGCAGCTCTAAGTTACTTCTCCGGGAAGAAAAACATTTAAAGGAGGATACAGATCCTTTTAGAGCATCTGGTCAAAACGGCCGCACGCATGAGAGGATGTAGAGGACGAGACTATGGTTAGAAGGTCGTGATGGTCGTACCCTGCACTGAGTATGGAGAGGCACAGGCGCCTGTCCTCCTGGGGCTGTGGGAGTATGTGAAGAGCGGACAGGAGGACGTGCTCCGCTCACCGTACCTGCCCGCGTCTTTTGCGTTCCTGGCGCACGTGCTGCTCTGCGTACCTTTCCTCGCGCTGGATGCGCTGGGGAGCGTCTGTCAGCGGGTTCGGTCATGGAGGATGACCGCGGGCTCGGGTCCGCCGCCGTCTCTGAGCCGATGGTTAGAGTGTTTCTGCAGGGTTTTGTATAAATACGTGACCGTGGTCCTGCCCGTCACTGCGCTCTTCAACACCCTAATAAACCTCAAGTTACCTGATGTGGCCCCCAGCTGCTGGCAGCTCTGCGTGGAGGTGGTGGCATGCCTGCTGCTTTTTGACATGCTCTTCTTCATGTGGCACTACGTCATGCACAGGTGAGCAGCACGCGCATTTGTTGGGCTTCCTTCCTCCCCCAACATGAACCCGGGTTTAAAAGAAGACATTCGGTCCAGCGGGCTGCTTGTGAGGTCCTGAGGGTTTGTCTGCACCAGTCTGCTGCTGCTTAACGCTTTAATTATTTTTGAAATGTGCTTTACACAGAAATGATAACATTTGGCATCCCTTCACAAAACACACACACCTATTGTAACCTGACAGACACATGTTTTTTTTTTATTAGACAAGAATCAAATAAAACATAACAGCTCCGTCCCGAGGGAAGAAGCTGAAAATTCACCCTATAGAGGACGGGAACCATTTTTAATAATTGATAAAGCCATCCTTACCTGTTTAGAGTACAGGGAGGCTAAACATGGCTGTGACTCACCTATCAGACGACTGGACCATCTCACTATCTGATTCAGTGAGTTTTCCTCTGTAACAGAGGTCTGACCGAACCATGGCACCAAACAAAAGATAAAACGGACTCAATAAAAGAACGATAAAACAAAGTTCAAATTGTTCAATGTGGAAACGAGCAAGTTTCCTGAGGCAGTAAAGGTGCTGGTGACCCTTTTTGCAGACCGATTTGCAATTTTAATCACAATTCAGTTTTACGTTTATTACGGTCCTGAGATATTTATATGATTGCACTTGCTCTATTTTCTGACCTTTTAAACAGCAGACCAGAGAGAAAACAAGAGAGTCCGCTGCTGATACTTGTTACGCATGTACATTTTAAGGACTGATTTCGGTTTTTTTGTCCTACAAAGGATTTTCTTGCGTTAGAAAGAATGTAAACCACTTCGCCAGAAGTGTCAAGCATGAACTCCAGCTTCCCAGTAACAGTATCTTTATTCACATCATTCCAATATAAAATCAGTGTTGGGTTCCTGATCTTTGCCCTTGATAAATCACTTGTGCGGCTAATAGCTGTAACACTGGCTCTAACAGTGCCAGTTAAAGTACCAGTAGCACTCGTTTTCTGTTTTTGTCTGTAGATATTATATAATTCTGACTTCTGAGAACTTTCCAGCAGAGGCGGAGCCAGACATTTGAAACACCAGGGGCTTAGCCCTAAAGGGTAGTATGCATGTGGGATTTTTTTTTTTTTTTTTTGGGGGGGGGGGGGGGGGGGGTAGAAATGACTGAAAGATTAATAGGCTCTGTTTTGAGTTTTGTTCAAAAAGAAATGACTTCATATAGGAAAAAATATATATCACATGTGCAGGACACCTTAAACTAGTTTTTTAATTAAGCAGCAAGGCAGAACAAAATCAGGGCTGCATCAAGACACGAGGACTAAACCCCAATTCAACCAGACCCAGAACTGATCCGGAATTAAAACAGGACTACAACAGTTCAAAATCAGGACTACTGAGCACTTAACCAAGACAGAACCAGAATCAGAACTAGATGATAGTAGCACTAAAAATCTTCATAGACCCGCACTACACTTATTTTTTAATTCTACCAAAGTACAATATTTAGATTGAGAAAAGTTTATTTAGCCTTGTTGTGCAAACAAGCCTGCATAACTTAATAAATGTAGAATTTGAAAAATAGCAAACCTAAAAAGAAACACTAGGTACGAGATACATGAGGACCTATGATACGGTGATACTTTTTGTAAACAACCATTTGACTAACACGTGTGTCTCACCTGCTCTTGTTCATCTCTGTTCTGTCCTCATTCTCCTCTCTCTCCCTCTCTGTTCCTCTCTCTCCGTCTTTGTGCTGACAATCATCAAATATACAGTTGAAACCAGATATTTACAAACTCTTCAGATCAAAACACAAACACTTTTTTAATTGTAACCTCAAATCAGACTAAATGTTAATTTTTTTTAGATTGATAAATATAAAAAACATATTTGTTAACTTTAAGAGTAAAGAGAGAAACTATCTGTATTTCTTAATTGTAAATGGCACCAAATTGTATTCAAACTTGAGCCACACTTATGGAGCTCCACAGTTCTTTTTCTGGTGTTTTGGTTGACATCTCTTGATTTTCCCATGTCAAAGAAACAGGCTCTGTGTTTTGCCTTATATGCATCCACAGCTGTGCCACCAATTTACTCACATGGACTCTACGAACCTATCAGAAGCTTCTTCAGCTCAGAATGGAATCGTCTGGAGTTTCTTATTAATTAACAATAAACTTAGTGTATATGTACTCTTAAATTTGATGAAAGTGATAAAAAAAATAGACAGCTCTGTCTCTCTTTATTCTGACATTTAACTAATCCAAAAGATATTTCAATATTTATTTATCCAAAACAAAACAAGTTTACTCTAAATTGATGTTGTACAGTAAAAAAAATGTTCTTGTATTTTCCATAAAGTGTATGTAAATATCTGGTTTCAACTGTGGATATCCTGCTGTGTATTGAAGTTCCTCTTGTTTTGCATAGAAATATACTGAACAACATACAAAGCATAATATATAAAATACTACCTGAGTTTTTTCTTTGAAAGAAGCTCCTTATGTCCATTCTTATATATCAGTACATTACTGAAACCGATTTATTTAGTCGTGGAGGGTAACAACTGAAAATATGAAATAAACACACGTGTAAGCTAAGACTCTCTAAAGAAACAGCATTGTTGTTGTTCGGCTTTTCATTTCGCCATTTGTTGATTCACTTGAAGAGCAAGTAACGTAATATGGGTCAAGTGATCAGTTTAACATCAATCTTTCGTGATACACCGTCATATTTACATTATTTGTACAGGATGAATGATTTGCTTTGGTACCTGGTCAAACTTCAGTTCTCCTCTGTCTGCCTGGCTCTGTTTCTCCAACAGCGCACTCGCAGGCAGCAGCTCCCCCGCTTAGTGCCTGAGCTCGGATCATACTAATATTAGGGGGGATTTACGCACAGTCGTAAATTCACATAGTGCACAGTGTGCACTATGTGTGCACTATGTGCTTTGAATATTGTGCGTATTTTTTTGCTTTATACAGTTGTCAGCCAGGCATCTAACTATGAAAAAATTACACTCCAAAAGACCCCGGGCTTCTGACAAAACAACCCGGGCTTAAGCCCAGCATGCCACCCCCCACCCCCCGCTCCGCCACTGCTTTCCAGTAATTTTCCATTACAGCACCACTGTAACCATAATCGGTGTGTGGGTTTTCATCCTTAGAGTTTCCTGGCTGTACCGCAACATCCACCAGATGCACCACCAGCACCACACTCCCTTCGCTCTGGCAGCTCAGGACTGCAGCTCGGCCGAGCTCTTGTCTCTACTGTTGCTGTCTCTGAGCAGCGCCTGGATGGTGGGATGTCACCCTCTCAGCGAGGCCCTCTTCCACCTCATCAACACCTGGCTTGCCGTGGAGGACCACTGCGGCTACGACCTGCCCTGGGCTCTGCACAGACTGCTGCCCTGTCTGGGAGGAGCCCCCCACCACCACGCACACCACAGTTTGCAAATCATAAATTACGCCCCTTTCTTCACGCACTGGGACCACCTCTTTGGGACGTATCGCGCATCGGTGCTGAATTCACGTCCACAGTGACAAGCCTGTTGCATTTTTTTTTTCTCAGATTCAATGAAGGATGTTATCTTTTGGCTGATGTTAACGTGTAATCTCACTATTCGCTCATTTATTACTACACATGTCGCAATCAATAATACAATACAATCACAACTGATACTTTATGTATGTAACCACTGTATCGTAGGCTGTAAGTGAAGACCCCCAGCATTTTCACCTTTGTCGCCAGAGCTTTCAGGGACTGTCAGAGACTGGAGCTGATTGTGAAACTAAGCACCACCGGATGCTGACTACTCCAGCCGGTGTACCCTGATTCATCCTTCTTTATGACTCAATCACATACAAAATGAGCTGGGTCAGTAAAGTCATCAAGAAAGCATTTGCTCTGGTTACAGAGCAATGGAGCCAAAGACTGTTTACAGACACTGTGCCATGCAACTACAAGTCTTTATGCAACAAGAGGAGCCTGCCCCCTGCTGGCTTGTTTCAGAACTTATAAACTGAGCTATGGACAGGAAATCAGATCACCTTTACCTTGGGGAAAAAAACAATGAGCCATTGTAGTTATGCTGAAGCGAGACATGTTTCATGCAACTGAAAATGCACCCCACCCCCACCCCCACATATTCTCATAAACTCAGAGTGACTTTGTTACTTTGGAGGAGTGAATCCGAAACAAAGACCTGTTTATACAACCCAGTACAGTGAATCTCATTTTACAGTTCATCAATTTAATACTTTAAGCTCGGGCTTTTTAATGTGGCCAGTATATTGTTATTGTACAGCGGATAACAATCACGGCGAGGAGATCTGGACACATTTCAGATCCCCCACATCCAAAACAGAAAACTTAATTAAAAACTAAACTGAAACAAGTAAACCAGTCCAGGCAGAGCAAATTCAAGTGCAAGCTTTGTTTTTTGAACTCTAAATGCATTTAGACTGAAAATCTTTAGACAGATCAGCTATTTTGTGAGGAAAAGGTATATATTTTAAGTAGGCTTAGTTAGACACCTATATATTTTATTTTTCCTGTTACATTCAGGACCTGTTTATGAGTGATTGTAAAGTTGTGTTGGAAATCTGCCCGACTGCTGTAGTGAATGAAAGCAGGACACAGACCGGGGTTTTTTGCCTCAGGCTCATGTTTCCACCGTGCTGCTGCGGTTAGTCATTTGTATAGCACATTTTGAGCCTTTCAGTAATCAGTTATATGCTCTGCTAACACGGTTCCTTGGTGCCTACAGTGGGGCAAAAAAGTATTTAGTCAGCCACCGATTGTGCAAGTTCCCCCACTTAAAATGATGACAGAGGTCAGTAATTTGCACCAGAGGTACACTTCAACTGTGAGAGACAGAATGTGAAAAAAAAATCCATGAATTCACATGGTAGGATTTGTAAAGAATTTATCCGTAAATTAGGGTGGAAAATAAGTATTTGGTCACCTCAAACAAGGAAAATCTTTGGCTCTCACAGACCTGTAACGTCTTCTGTAAGAAGCTTTTCTGTCCCCCACTCGTTACCTGTATGAATGGCACCTGTTTGAACTCATCATCTGTATAAAAGACACCTGTCCACAGCCTCAAACAGTCAGACTCCAAACGCCGCCATGGCCAAGACCAAAGAGCTTTCGAAGGACACCAGGAAAAGTATTGTAGACCTGCACCAGACTGGGAAGAGTGAATCTACAATAGGCAAGCAGCTTGGTGTGAAAAAATCAACTGTGGGAGCAATCATCAGAAAATGGAAGACATACAAGACCACTGATAATCTCCCTCGATCTGGGGCTCCACGCAAGATCTCATCCCGTGGGGTCAAAATGATCATGAGAACGGTGAGCAAAGATCCCAGAACCACACGGGGGGACCTGGTGAATGACCTGCAGAGAGCTGGGACCAAAGTAACAAAGATCACCATCAGTAACACACTACAACGGCAGGGAATCAAATCCCGCAGTGCCAGACGTGTTCCGCTGCTGAAGCCAGTGCATGTCCAGGCCCGTCTGAAGTTTGCCAGAGAGCACATGGATGATACAGCAGAGGATTGGGAGAATGTCATGTGGTCAGATGAAACCAAAGTAGAACTTTTTGGTATAAACTCAACTCGTCGTGTTTGGAGGAAGAAGAATACTGAGTTGCATCCCAAGAACACCATACCTACTGTGAAGCATGGGGGTGGAAACATCATGCTATGGGGCTGTTTTTCTGCCAAGGGGACAGGACGACTGATCCGTGTTAAGGACAGAATGAATGGGGCCATGTATCGTGAGATTTTGAGCCAAAACCTCCTTCCATCAGTGAGAACTTTGAAGATGAAACCAGGCTGGGTCTTCCAACATGACAATGATCCAAAACACACCGCCCGGGCAACAAAGGAGTGGCTCCGTAAGAAGCATTTGAAAGTCCTGGAGTGGCCTAGCCAGTCTCCAGACCTCAACCCCATAGAAAATCTGTGGCGGGAGTTGAAAGTCCGTGTTGCTCGGCGACAGCCCCAAAACATCACTGCTCTCGAGAAGATCTGCATGGAGGAATGGGCCAAAATACCAGCTACTGTGTGTGCAAACCTGGTAAAGACCTATAGTAAACGTTTAACCTCTGTTATTGCCAACAAAGGTTATGTTACAAAGTATTGAGTTGTATTTTTGTTATTGACCAAATACTTATTTTCCACCCTGATTTACGAATAAATTCTTTACAAATCCTACCATGTGGATTCATGGATTTTTTTTTTCACATTCTGTCTCTCACAGTTGAAGTGTACCTCTGGTGCACATTACTGACCTCTGTCATCATTTTAGGTGGGGGAACTTGCACAATCGGTGGCTGACTAAATACTTTTTTGCCCCACTGTAGAAGAAAGGTCTGTTTTTTCCATGGTTTCTGCAGTTGCAATTTTCAGCTGGCATCATGTCACCAGCTACCTGAGGATCCTTTACATATAACAAATAGAGAGTTTGTCAAGACTCTTGCATTTCACAGCAGTGTTAAGTCTAGCCATTATTTATGGCCCATTATCGCAAGTTTGCCTTAAGAGAATACAGTGCCTGTAACACACCATGTTTACAGGCAAGCAAGAGGGAGGCAGAGTCAGTGTTGCAATCTTCAGGATGGCAAAAGAAAGGGCTGCAAACAGTAATGAGAAGTATAAGTAGGTGAGCCTGTTTATGATTTTGGAAGGAGCACGGCTTATATAATGAATCAAGCATGTCATTCACAAGCAAGAGCAGTGTTGATAGTAAAGATGAAATCTCTTCCAAAGAAGCTAAAATACAGATCAAAACAATGGGAGTGAGGCAAAGGGAAAATAAAGGAAGTTCTCGGGAAGACTCGTGTCCAAAGGCAGGCAAAGATGGCAAGAGAAAAGAGGCACATACAGCTTGCATGCACATGTGCTTAAAAGACATGTTTAAGGGGCCAAATACAATTTATAGAGCAGGGGGTCAAACATAAGCCCTCAGGACACAAATCCTTCAAAAAAGACTCCAATCTAGCCCACCGGCAGCTTTGAAAATGTGAACAAGGGCACACATTTTGGAATTTCTGACTGTATTTTCACAGCCTCTTCTCCTGATAAAGAAGGCTCTCATGGCTTTTCTACTTGACAGAACCTTTCCTTTGTTTGTTTGGTTGGTTTTTTTTCACACATTTACTCAAGTTCAGTTGTTTTCGGGGCCGCCCCTCCGTGAGCCTGGTTCTGCCAGTGGTTTCTTCCTGTTAAAAGGGAGTTTTTCCTTTCCACTGTCGCCAAGTGCTTGTTTTCAAGGAGCTGTCTGATTGTTGGGGTTCTGCCTCTATTACTGCAGCGTTCCTTTTTTGTACAGTATTATGATATCATAGGGATTTAATGTATAGTTAAATGTCTTTACAGTGACAGAAAGGGGAGTTTTACTAATCTGACCAATTTAGGATTAAAGTGGGCTGTATGTGGCCCACCGTCTAAAGTGAGAGATTCCCAGAAAGATAACAACTTCATGTATCAGTCACATTAAACCTTTCAAACAGGTACTTTACACCACCTTAGCTCAGTGGGTGAGCAGGTAAGAGCATCGGCTCGTGCTCCAGTCCAAACTACAGCCCTTTTTTGCGCAACTTTCCTTTCACTTCACTGTCCAATAAAGGCAAAAATGCCAAAAAACAAAAACAAAGAAGCTTTTAATATATTTCTTTGGAAACTTTGAAAAGTGAGGGCCATTACTTTAATGAAGAATGACATGTGAATACTTTCAACGAGCTGAATTTGCTAAGTCATCCTTGGCTGGGACTACTGCAGTCATCTGTTTTTCATTACTTTGTCATTACAATGGGCTCTCTGAAGTTTCGCAACAGCAGACCCAAATGTTTCAAAGGTGCTTAAACATTTGGAGGAGATTTTTTGTTTCTGTTGCTCATGATGATCATGCAGTGCCTGGGAAAACTGCGCTTTTCCTGAGAAGATTTGAGGACAGAGCAGCAAGAGATGAGCGCTGGGTGGTGGAGCCAGGAGATTTAACGATAAGCATGTGATCCAAAACGGAAACAATCAGGCCTTATTACAGACCCGACGTCAGAGTTTAGGGCGAGTCACTCAGCTGTGGGTGACACACACCAAAACACACGTTCACAGCGGGACGCACGTCGGGGTCCAGCAGTCGGCGTCGTGATGTCAAGCCCGAGGAGAATTACTGAAGCACTTTGAAGCGTCTGTACACGGGGAACTGCTCTGAATGTTTACTTGTTAGGTGGGCTCTTAAACTTGGCACGTAGGCTGAATGCTCCACATGAAGTAACAGTTCATAAAATCCTTTCAAATCAAGAGTGAGAAACAACAAGAGCTCTGCAGTAGTCCTTATCAAAGGAGCACAAACCAAAGACTTCCCATTTCATCATATTCCCTGAAAGCTTGCCATTCAGTGACAAAGGCCAGATTCATATTTCTTCCATAGTTCTGTAAATATTCAATTAGCAAGCTTCGCATAGCTGAGGCCGCCTGTTGTCTCAGTAATTGAGGTTCCTGCTCTCTTGTTGCCATTTTTAGCCGACCTCTGCTCTCGTCTTGCGTGAGGGGCCATCCAGCGCCTGAGTTGTTTGCTTCTCAAACATTTTGGTGCACTTGTCATCAGCTGGCTGTGGCCAAAACAGTTTTTTTCCTCTTCTTTTTGGCAAAAGCAACTTAAAACAAGCGCAGCTATTTTGTAAATACGACATTCTGAAAGGCAGCAGAAGGATTGCAAAACGATAGGACTGTAATAATTTAGCTATGCTATGATTTCAAAAGATGCATTTTAAACATTACACTTCTCACATTTATTTGCTGTATTTGTGATCAGAATCATTGGGTTTTGTACCAAGTGTGCAGGCAGCTAGGCTACAGTTAGCTTGGCCTTTAACAGAGGATACAAACAGGTTGTGTGTGCGTTTTCTTAATATTCATTTGTGACTACGTTTATTTTATAGTCGCTTGCCTCCAATCTTTTCCTAGCTTTCTATAGTTCACTTCACACATTTAAGTCTCCATATTTCATCTTTGACCTAATTTCCTGCAGCTTTAGCAGTTTTATTTACTAGAGGTGGGCGGATTGATGCAAATATCGATAGTCTCTATATCATTAGTTGTGGTGGATTGATACTACTGCGACAGGATCGATACTTTGTTTCAATCCTCTGTGTAGTCCACGAAAAAATATGCCTCAAACATGCTCTTTGAACCGTTTTGTGTTGACTGTCACGTCTACTTTTTAAAAATAACTTATAATACCTTCAAAAAACAGAAATGTATCCAAAGAGCTTTACAGACAGACACATTTGCATTAAAGGTCTCCAAAAAAACAGTTTCAAAATACATGAAAAGCTGAAATGTGTTTGGAGCGGCCATTAAAATGTGCTCAGAATTTGCAAAGTTGTAACCCATGACACACTGATCTCCCCTACACAAGCTTCCTTTATAAGTAAAAAGTATCAGTACCAGCAAGACTGGCCCTGTGTTTACTTGGAATCAGATACCAAAAATGAGTAATATCGCACAGCACTATCATTTACCCAAACTGAGCACAAGTGCCTTTCATAGAACTTTATTGTGATCCACATGATTAACAAATCAGAAAGAACAGAAAGAGTTCAGCATTTCAGGTCTGAACTGCATCTTTTATTTAAATCTTCAGTGTGCATTGGTGCGTGAAAACAACATCACAGCCAGTCTTGCGATTGCAATCCCACAGACATTCACAGAAACCTCTGCAGCAGCAGAAAGAGATTTCTTTGCTTTTTTTTGTTTGTTTTTGCTTTTTATGAACAGGTTTTCCATCATTGCTATCTGCGGCCTGCGACCTGTCAGTGCG